GAATGATATAAAAAAATTTGTCAAAAATGGCTAGTCAAAAAGTCGAAATTTGTCTGAAGAAAAAAAACCCACCCGAGCACAAATATTCAGTTACTTTCGTATCGACAAACCACCTTTAGGCAAACTTCATCGTAATACAGTTTGATTATAACATGTTTAAGGGCAAATTTAAATGTAACACAGCTAAAGCCTTTAGCTCAGTGTTTTGGGCAGATTTTCTGCTTTCATCGTACCTCGCTGAACACGCACGTAGCTATTTAATGAATGCTAGAAAAAAATCTTTCCAAATTGAATAGATTCAATGCTTTGCAGAATATTTAGAAAATTGAAGGACAATATTTGGAACAAAAAAGAGCACTGCACAATCAAAATTTTTTCCAATGTTTTTTTCCAATGGAACAAATTTTGCGCGGGATGTTATAATTTTGAATTTTTAGGATCATAAATATAGTTTCAAAGTATTGAGCTAGCAGCTCACGCTAAGTCAAAGCGCATTTAGAGCACCTACGCTGAGAATACGAAGTTTAAAGAGAATGGATCTGCACTCTAAAACATTCATTAGAAATTAATCTAAAAAAAAAAACTGGCAAAGCATTTGAACTACTTGTCCACAATAGCAACAAAAATATCACCAATTAGCTCGCCTGATTTCTCTTCATAACAAATTTGCTCGTTTTACGCATTCAGCAAAGTCCGAAGCATTCAGCAATAAAGTCTTCAAAATATCAAGCGAATATTTTACAAGGATTCAAAGCGGATTTAGGATAATGCGCACTCGAGCAAAACTCCGATCGCCCTTTCACCGGTATCGGGTAATTTTCGACGAAAGGAAATTTGAAGAGCATTAAAGTTTGAATTCTGGTTTGTTTTTCTCTCCAGCAGCCAAAAAATCTATAGTATGTGTCATCAATATCAGTCATGTAGTAAAACTTATATGGCCAATTAACTTGATGCAAATCATTAAACAAATACTTTGTGATGAAGCAATTCAGGTGATGGAGCAACTTTTTGTTTTTACATTTGAAGCTATCGAGCCGATGTTTTCATTGGGAATTTTAAAAAATATTTTCAAAAAACCTAATATACGTCGAAAAATTGAACATTTGTCTAAATTTGAAAAAATATATATTTATCTGAGAAGTATGCAACGCTTTTTCTTTTTGTTCACTCACTTGAATTCCTTTTCAATGTTTCTGGGGCAATCGACACTGAGCACAGCACCTGAGATCCATTAATTGCCAATATGTTGCCCAGATTTATCGACGGAAAAAGACAAACAATGTTTTCATCCATAATAACTCTTCTCCTGAACTGAAGTGCTTTGTTGCCTTCTTCCATGACTCGAGCATAGTCGATCTCGTAGAGGCTGATAGCTCTCATGTTTTCATTTGTGAGAGTTGCAATGAAATTAACTGAATCCAATTCAGCCGTTGTGAACGAAACGATTCCGCTTTTCTCTGCGTGCAGTTCGGTTTGCCTGAATATGTTTAGCACCGTATTTCCATTTTTCCAGCGAATGACAATTAGGGTGTTGCCTTTTCTCTCAGCCATGAGAATGTAGTCGCCCGTAGTTCTGGTAATAGACGTTCTGAACCTATCCTTTTTCACGATTTCTCTCCTCTCAACAATTTTGTTGTCCTGGCATATAATCACCGATCGCTTGGTTGCCGATGCTTTTGGGAAAATTAGCAACCAGTTGCCCGTGCCCAGATTTGTTACATCGGCTCTTCCTTGCTTGGACAAATCGAACTTGATGTTTTCTAGGTCCAACTTCTGGATCGTGCCAAGAGAAAGTTTCTCGATTATTTCGACTCCGTACGTGTCGTTTGCGTACCGTATTGTTCCGTACAGATAGTCGTTACTCACAACTACTCCCATTAAACGAGATCCATCGTAGTTTCGTTGTTTTTGCCACACAAGACGTTTGAGGAGTCGCAAAGATCCATTGGTCAGTTCCACCTGCGAAATGGTTTGCTCCAGTCTCCCAGGGTCGGCCACGTCTCCTTGTTCATGCATGATGAAACCCACTCCTTTCGAGTCGAAAGCTGGGCGATACCAGAAAGTGCGCTTGTTTGCTGAGTGCAAAACTAGCTGGATTGATCTTGACGATGATGTATTGTTAGTTGGAACCTAATTCATAGTGGAAATTGGTTTCTGCACTCATAAATTAAGTTTTGTAGTTACGTTTATTTTCTCGAAAGTCACTCTAAATTCATTGTTTTTTGGTTCGTGATATGTATTTATGTATCTTTCTTTGTTTGATGTATACATCTGTTCCGTTAAACATCTATATGCGTGAAAAAACGTATATGCGTATACAACAAGTGTATTTGTAATCAAGCATATGGGTTGGCAGGGGTTGAATCTATGCGTTGGATCTAGGATTTTCTCGAGGGGGCCAACTTTCAAAAAATTTTGAGGCTTAAAAAAAGAGCTCGACAATTGATTTTCTGAGCGCTCTCAGCACACTCTATCAAACCCAGTTTTTGATTTTTGACACAAAAATTTCCGCCGCAGGCAAATTTTTGAAAAACCGGCCAAAAGAGGCGTTTTTAGGCACTTTTTGGAAAATTTTGACCAATAAAATGCGTTTTTTCAGTGCGCGCTTCACTTCAAAAATACTATATATTGGCGCCAAAGGGGCCTTTAGAAAAAATTTAGGGTTGGTTGGCCTAAAGTGAATGACTTAAAAAATACCAAAGGGTGGTGAGAGGGTCGAATCCTTAAGGTGGGACTGGTAGGTGAGAGGGTCGAACCCCTAAGGGAAAGAGAAACAATCAACCCCCCAAATCCGTCCCTGTTGGTAAGTATATACACTCACTTTTTACCTATCTTCCAAAAAAAATCCCTGTCGCAAATTATTGACAAAACACAAAAAGTGGCTTACGTGTTCTCTTCTCAGAGGATCTCTATCCATATTCCTCGGTATTGCTGATCTGCACACCCTGCATATAGGTGCAGGTTTTTTGAGAATGTGTGAAATACAGTCCCGGCAGAATTCGTGTCCACACATTAGAGGTTCACGGTCTTCCAAAGAGTTCAAACAAATTTGACACTCATTCATTTTGCGTTTGAATCTGAGTGTCTGATTAGCCTATCAGAGTCAGCCTTACCCGCACTGAAGTTTCATGGATAATAATCGATTATATTGGTTTTTCATTGTCAGTCTCTATAAAAACAATAAAAACAATCGATTATAATTGATTGAAAATGGATTTTAATCATAATATTTTTCAAACAATGAAATTTGAATATAATCGAGTAAAATCGATTATTGTCAATTTATTTTCAAAAAAATTATCAAAAGAAAAATAATCCATTTTAATCAATTATAATGGATTAAAATCCTTTTCTTTAAACCTTTTTGAGTGTTGTTTTCATTTTTACATAATATTTTTAAGCTTAAAATTGTTATTTTGTTCTCTAGCTAAATTTCATTTTTTCCAATTTTCAATTGCGCCCATGAAAATTTACAAAATTTATCTATGATAACAACCACCCCCCCCCCCCCCCCCCCCCCCACGTTTACCCGTACTGCAGAGATACTTGTCCCGTTAGGTAGGGTGTTTAGTGGGGGGGTTGGTACGTGGGTGGTGGGGGGTACGTGGGGGGATGGAGGGTGCGTATAGGGTGGGTTACATGGAGGGATGTACTAGGGGAAGGGGTACGTGGGGGGGGGGGGGGGGTGGTATAGAGGGTACGTGGGGGGTATTACGTGAAGGGGGTACGTGAAGGGGGTTGCGTGGGGGGGGGTACGTGAAGGGGGTGTTACGTTAAGGGGGTACGTGGAGCGAGGGGTGTACATGAAGGGGGTACGTGGAGGGGGGTAAGTGAAGGGGGGTAGGTGAAGGGGGTCCGTGGGGGGATTACGTGGGGAACTGGTCAAAAGTGCCGTTTTCGGGCACTTTTTGGAAAATTACTACATATTGGCCTCTTCAAAATTACTGCATATTGGCTGTGTTCGTTCGAGTTTTGCAGAAAGCTGCAAAAAATAAAGTCAAATATTTACAAAATTTAATCCATTTTCATGGATTTTTTGTACAAAAAATAATCCATTATTTTGAAAATAAAAATTAATTCTAATCGATTACAATGGATTATAATGGATTTTTTTTCGATAATAATCGATTAAAATGGATTTAAAATCCATTACGTTGTCTAAATCTGCCATGATGATGGATTATATAGACAACATTTTAGCCAACAAAAATCCTTTATAATCCATTTTCATCCATGAAACTTTGTTGCGGGTATTACTATGAGTTGAAGAAAGATGTAGAAATTCTGATTTTGGGCCGTTCAGTGCATAAGACCCAAAAAAGTCTATAGAAAAATAATTACGGTTCTCACTGTGTCTATAAATAAATAAATAAATACACGTAAATCACATAAAAATGATTGTGCTGTGATAAACTAAGCACCAAAACAAGCACCAAAACAGAGTAATTGTAATAAATACAAAAACATACAGACCGCGTGCAAGTTTTTCAATTTTCAGTCTAAATAAATTAGCGTACAACACTTACATATAAACAGATTGGAGAAAGAGCAACGTGCCGCAGCGACAGTTTGTCAAAAGCGTAAGCTTTTGATTGCATTGTCATCTAAGATAATTTTTATCGCCGAAACAGTACACAGACGAATAAGATATCGTCTTATAAATTAAATTTTTGAATGTCTAATAATGTGAACGCCTTTGATAGAAAAATTCGATTTGTTTTGCGAACCGATTCACTCTATGCAAATATTTACAAATTTCAAAGATTTAGCATTTCAGTAGTTTGCCCAGAAAAATATGAGAACTGAATCACGCAATGAAATTTTGAATCTTTTTGAGAACCAAAAAACCTTAAGAAAATAACCTTAAAATTTTTGAAATCACAGCTTTAATTGCTCGCTGAAAAAATTGTCAATGTTTTTGAATCGATTCACGGTATAGTTCTTAGGTTGCTTTAAATTTTCCCGTTTCATCGCAAGTTTCTATGCGAATCATTTCACTAGGAAAGTAACTTGGTTTGATTGAATGGCTTGCTCAGAAAATATTAGTTTTTGCCAATCGAGCTAAAGTATGAAGTAACATAAAAAATTCAAATTTAATAAACTAAATGGTTTGCTCACCAAAGAATTGAATATTATTTCAATCTGAAATACCTTGAATTTGTTCAAAGTTACGTAACTTGAACGAATAGCTTGCCTCGATAAACCTAAAAATTTTCAAAGTGATCTACAAAATGAATTATTCAAATTTCATTGTTTTAATGGCTTGCTGCTTGCTCAATACAGCTAACTTTTTGCGGGTCGATTGGTTGATGACTTGCTACGGATATAAAAGTTCAATGGATGCAGCGTTTTAATCTTTTTATCGAGCGCATTGTTTAAGAAAGCTTAGAACAGAACTTATAAGAATCATTCAGAGCAACCATCGAGTTCTAGAATTTTCAATCATTTTAAAGACTTTGACTTAAAGCTTCCCATGGCCTAGAGGTATCAAAAACGGCTGGGATTGAAAAAGTCCTGGTTCGAATTTGCAAGTAACTGTTTTTATTTCAAACGAGAATTAATTCGTTTGAAAAGAAAACCGTCGGCTTATTTTGCGTCTGCTTATGTTTTGTCGGCTTATAAAATATATATTTTACATTTTTTAATTTTTTATTTTTATTGTAGTTGCTCATGTTGATCAGTATAATTCTGCTCTTTGTAATTTGTAAGCTTTTTATATTTTCTTTTTTTGTTTTTTTTTGCTCAAAAACTCTAATCTGCCCAAAAAAATTCGGCTTAAATTTTAATGGCTTGATGACCTAATTTTGAGTGGACTTAGTGGCCTAAAATTAGATCTTAATAAATTGCTACCTAAATGTTTCCTAAATTGCGTCTTAAACAAGTTTTAGATTACAGTTTAATTTTTTCATGACAACAGTTTTCAGCCTAATTTCCAAAAGGGTTCTTAATGGCTTCATATTGCCTATTTTGACAAACGATAATCATATTTTGTTTGTGCCCGGATGTATTTTAATAGCGAGGGAGAATTATTAGTTTTTTAGTTTTCAATTATTTTCGTTTTTTTTTGCGGTTTTCGTTTGGGCCAAAAAAACTTTGTGCGTGTGTGTTTTTAGGGGAGAGCGACTGGTTAACTTTTTATAATTCTTATTGATTTTTTTCAGAGGGTTTCTTCTAAGGTTTTTCGACTTTGTTACAGCTTGGTAAGTTTTCATCTGATGCAATTTATTCACATTTTTTTGTACTGGTATGTTTTGTTTCAAAGCTAGCCTGCTTCATTGTGATAGATCCAGAATCTATGTTTTTTTTTTGCCGACTTAACTTTTTGTTCTGTTTTTTTTTCATAATTGGATTATCTTGCTCAAAAACTTTAAATTTCTTAGAAACCAATTCAGTACAAAACTGCTTGAAAACTTTCAAAGTTTCATAACTTGAATAACTTTTTGCCAACTGATTCGTCTGAACCAACCTCGAACTTTTTAAAAATTACTAGCTTGAGTAGCTTGCATAGAAAAATTTAAATTTTTGCGAGCGGACTCGATTCATGAATTAAATTGAAATGTTTCAAAATTTCATAGCTGCAATAGCTGGCTTGGAAAAATTTGAATTTTTTGCAAACCCATTAGTCTGAAATAACTTGAAATGTTTCAAAGTGTAATAGCTCAATATTTCAAAGTTTCATAGCTTGAATGGTGTTAATAAAAAAAACTTAAGTTTTTTTCGCCATCCAAATCGCTTCTTGAAATAACTTCGCATCATTTTTCGCATCATATTTCAAAGACAGCCTTTTTTCGGCAACTTTTTTGAAAGCTGTTTCGTTCTTTGAAATTTTAATAATTTGATTAATTATTGGAGACGGGCTTGTAAGTACATACAAAAGGGATCACATATGGTGGCCTGTCAATAAGCAGAATGGTCTAAGAACGTGTCCAAGAGCAGAAAAATAGGAGAATATCAACTTTTAAAAGCTAAATGGTAAATTAAGTATTAGAATTGTCAAAAAAACGAAAATATTTTGCACTCTTTGAAGGATTCAATCGAGATTTTTTTAATTAAAAAAAGACGTTGATAAAATTATTCATTACCTGCATAGTTTATTCCATTTTGGTAATATTGAGGTTGCGAGTATTCGTTTAGTATCAATATCAGTTAGCCCGAAAAAAATTAAATTTAGTGTTTTTATAATTTTCTGCTCTTGGACCCATTCTGTTCTTAGACCATTTATAAGACCATTCTGCTAATTGCTCTGCCTGCCAGAGATATGATTTAGAATCTTCTACTTCAATTTGCATAGCTCTTGATTGGATACAACCAATGAAGTCGAAAAAATGTAGCAAGCTGACACACATGATACTATCGGCAAACAAACACATTTGATCAAATTTTTATTTGAACTCACAACTTGCACAAAATGTTTTTTAAACAAAACAAGACAGTACAAATTGAGATAAAATTAAGTAAAACGAAAATAAAATAACGTCAATATTATGTCAATTAAAGAAAATTTGCATGCATTGGGGGGGGGGGGGGGGGAGAGTATGCGACACGCATGCAAATAGGCTGGTCCCATGAATTTGGTAACTGTTTTGTAATTGATACATAAATATTAGGTAGCGATTCCAATTTCGGCTCGCACTTTCGCTAGCGTTGTTAATGTGCTCTCAGTTTTCTTCGAGTTTCATTTTTGAGCTATTTTTTCATCCGCTGTCTGTCTAGTAAAAAAGTTTATAATGCCACAACAGCAGAGTGGGTTTTATGAAGGCTCTGATTAGCTGTGGAGCTGAAAAGAAAGAGAGAGCCAATCAATTTGTTTAGCGATATAAACTCAAACCTGTGCATTTTTTCTGTTCAGATTCCGATAGAAAATTAAATCTTACCAACGCAAAAACTCCAGTCAAATAAAAGCTGAACTTTAGTTTGCAGGATTGACATGTGTTCTTACTTCTTGTGAACTTGAAATGTTGTAAACAAACCATCAGATTTTTCAAATTGTGCTCATCAAATTTCACATTGCTACTAAATGCTTATTTCTAACCCTTCTTCTTTGCCTTCTTTTTAATTTACAATTTTGAAAGCTGTAAAAAATGAATTCAATTGATTGAATGACAAAAACGAGATAAAGTTGATTATCATGTCTAATATTTTAAAATGACTCTTTCAATCTTAATAAAATTACAAGTGGAATGAAAGCTTTTCAATGTGATGGGAGTGTGCAAAAGAACAGTTGGCGCTTTCTTTGCCAAAACTCAAGCTGGACAAAAAATTTGATAATTTTTAACAAAGAACAAGGCTTTAGAGCGGAGGCGGAGCAATAAGCAGAATGGTCCAAGTGCAGAAAGGGTCCAAGAGCAGAAAAACAGAAAAATATTGACTTATATTGTTTTATACGGGCTAATTGATAAAACGATTATTAGAATCGTCAAAAAGTACCAAGAAAACGAATAAATTATGCATCAATTGACTAATTTCATCAAGTTTTCATGATTAATTTTTAAAAAAAATTCTTGATTAAATTGCTCAAATTATGCATGAAATGTTCGTTTCTTTGCTTTTTTTGACGTTTCTGATAATTAATTTACCGATTAGCTTATCGAAAAAGATATTTTTCTATTTTTCTGCTCTTGGCCCATTCTACTCTTAGATCATTCTGCTTATTGACTGGCCACCCTTTAGAGCGTTGTTGTACCGACTTTCGATGTACGGGTTTTTTTTCTTCAGACAAATTTCGAATTTTTTAATATAATTCAAAAGCTAAAGTTGTCTTGAGCTTAAACTTGAAAAGATATTTCACCTGTAATTTTTTTTTGTAAAGTTATGGGAGTTTTAAGATTGCCATTTTGGCCAATTTGGGACAAATAACGCGCGATATATTTCGCGCAATTAACGCGTAAGCGGAGAGTTAATCCGTCTTAGATATCGTTCCAAATTGCTTGAAAGAAGCTTATTTGCCACAATTGATTTGTTACAAGGAGCGAAATCTATCCTTTTGCAGTTTATATGGCGTGTGGGGGGATGATTTCATAGAAAAAATTTCAAATTTAGGAAAACAAATTTTCATTGTATTTATTACTTTTAACTTGTTAATGATATTTATGTTATTACTGCTCCATAAACCTTAAAAGGGAGTTGGAACATTCAGGGCTTCGCCCTGATACGAGCAGTCTTTTTTAAGTTTCAGAAGCTATATCAGAAATTTTCTCAGAACTGTTGATTTCATATGAAGTTGAATAATACTTTTTCTAGGTTTTGATTTATAATAATATTTTTTTAAGTTTTTTTTACCAGAAGTAGGAACGTGAGGGAACAACTGGTGGAAAATGAAAATCAGCCAATCGAGTGTAAACTTAATCTCAGGGCATGACACTCGAAATAGATAATCAGCAGATAAAACAGCACTCTTCTATGAAAATGGTATGATAAGCATTTTTTCCATAGACTCCATATTCGGATTTGTATGACAAACATTTTTCTTCTATGGACATAAAACCAGGAATAGGGCTGATTTGCTTTGCGCGCAAACTTGTCAGACAAGATCTGTTATGAAAACA